TAAACGTTTTTAGTAAGTAGGTATTATGTATTGGGCATTATGTAAAATGTTGTTACTCACAAAAGTGCAGTAAATTAAATGTATCACGATTTTACAAACAATAACATTGACGGATAAAAATAGCCCGGCCTTTCGCTGTTTGACACTGGCGCTAGTGGTCATGAAACTGGCCTAAAATATTGTAGTTCCGATTTCTACCGCTAATGACAATGTATTTTATGTGGGTTATGTTAATACCTAAATCATGACGAATGATTTCCTTTGTTTTAAAGATCATCATTTATTATTTTTATCACATTGACTAAAATTAACATCTACCTCCTAAATAGTTATTTTAGCGTTACTATCTTCTTATTAAATTTGTAGTCTTCACTATCCTAAAGTTATTTCAGACATTTCAAAGATTTAATATTCATTTCCTGACTTTCTTTGTTCTAAAATTATATTGCTAAAAACATCAGACTTCTCAAAATAACAACAAAGTAAACTTGGCACGATTCTAGATTTGCTATCTAGATAAACACAGTTAGCTAATTTCACTGGCTCAGTTTTCAATGAAATAAAACTAGCTAAAATCTAGATTGTTATCTTTTTATTTAGGTCAACGGGACGCCTAAATATTAATTAGGGTTAATTCAGAATTTCTTGGAATAGGACGTGAGCAATTTTACTGTATATTCTATTGTAAAATGTCGTTATTTATTAAGATTTAAAAGCATTCTTATCTTTTGGCGTGCCTTAAGACGTTTTTTCCCAACGCCTACACAATTTTCAACAGCGCAATTACTCGGACGTCTTTTTGCATGAGATAAATAATGTAGGCGTTTTTAAACTAGCGTCCAGTTAACAGTTATTAGACCGCACAAAGAATAGCTTGTTGTATGAAGATTCATATCCCTCTTGTATAGGAATTGTGATTTATTCAGGTAACAACTCATCCAATGAGCGGGGCTAGGGGACACAGCGATTAGTTCCCGGCGAGTGGGACGGTCTAGTGTTTATGTATGTCCTCTAGGGGGATAGGTACTTTGACTGAAGTCTAGGTATTATAGCTTGGTCGTATAGATTTTTGCCTTCTGCTGTAAGTAAATATAAAGTAAGCAGGTAGGTACTTTTAGTTAATTATTACACTTTCGATAAAAGAGAGAAAAGAGTCATATTTTACTGGAGGCAGTCGATTTTTTTCCATACAGAAAATATTCAGTTCATCCGTTGTAGTCAAAGTCAGTCAGATAAAATCTAGTTTATCACCCCGAGACCAACAGTGCTTATCAGCAAACATAATATCGTTTATTGTTTGATTCAAGTTCATCTAAAACATCAAGTACCTGATACAGATGCTAAAGATCGAAATAGTTATCTGCTTACTTATACATATACGTAGGTTTGAACTCTACAGGTTGCAGTTGCAGGTCAAAAAGATTTGGAAGACGCTGCAAATTCCGAAGAGACCTCCAATAGTCAAGATATGCGACTATCTTTGTAGTCTTTAACACTTGTACACGACAAATCTATCATGAATATTATTATCTTAACACCCAATGTGCTTCAGCACAACCCTAATATGATGTTTATCATTTTTTATCATATGGACTGTGAGAACTGAGGTCACAAACCTGGTGTCAATAGCCTAATCAGACCAATAACGGTTTAAAGTAAGCGCATATTATTTTTTTATTTACAACGAGGAAACTCTTGGCCTGTATCTCACCTGATGGTAAGTGACGATCAGGCCGAAGGTGGAAGCGAGCTTCACCCAGAATCCTCTACCACGGAGGAACTGGCTATCTTACCTCTAACTGCCGGAACACAACAATGCTGTTAACATTGTTGCATATCACGTCAAATGGCAATATCACATGCGTAGCCTGTCATCATCTTAGAAATAGGTCATCATCTTAGAACACTTTAGCAAATGTGGAAACACAATAGCCATAAAGGAGAAGAAGAAGATTTAGATGTTCCCATTGCGTGGCCACTGGCCATGGCTTAAGCCACCCTCCGCAGTTGAGGTAAAGTCTTTGCCCTGCTGTGGTGTGGTGGTACGTGCTTACTTTGCAAACGTTACCAAATGCGGTGACACAAAAAGTTTGACACGGGGTTTTAGAAGAATATCAGCCATGACTAGGTCTTATAATAGTCGTGGTACTTCTGTTAAGCCATTAGCCGTGAAATCAATTTAAAACTAGGCATTCCAAATATTTTTTTCTAAAGTTATGGATGGTAGAACAATCATAAACCTTACGGCTATAGCGAATAAAGTTATCAGTTACTTTGTTCCGCTTTTTCCTGCTTTTTATTTCACATCAGATTACTCGTACACCACATTTTGAAATCTATTGTCTGATAGGAGAAGTTGTATTAGAACTAGTAAATCTGTTAAATCTTTGGCAACCTCGCAGACAATATAAAAGTCTACTCTGTAATCTCAAGATTGATTCTTTTTTCTGTCAAAAAGAGGTTCTTTCCCACCACTAATCTCTCCACTAAATCTGTGTTAAACCTCCATATTTAATTTTGTTTGCGAGATTACCAGACCCTGGCTTGCACCATCTTACTTTAACTTTAACAAACATCAAAAGTCTGTCCAACTCCGAAGAAGAAGAGAACAAAAACACCAGTTATAGTTACGGTTAAAGTTAAGGTGCAACTTAGCCTAAAACTATATGAACCACCAACCTGCTATAGCCACGAGAAGCGTCCACCACATCATGCTGGCGTACTGGCCGGTCGCCGGCACTGGCCGCGCGCGTCTGTCCTGCCAATTGGCAAATTGCCCAATTTACTGGCGCGATTGGTGGCAAGGACTCGGGAGGGATGTGGACGTCAGCAGGACAACTAGAAATAAAGCCCGGGTCTGCTTGGAAATCTGATTTATTTGTGATATTTGTCGTTGCAAAGGTTTTTAGGGCAGTTTTCATCAGATGGTTTTAGGGCTATGTTTTATATGGTCTAGTGCAGTGTTTCCGTGAATCGTAAAGTAGAATTCTGATTTGGTCAATTGCAAAAGGAAGTTCCAATGGCATAGATCCTCATCCTTAACCATCCTGCAGACTTTGTAGAATTAATTATGGACCCCAAATAATCTTTTAACTTCTAACAAATACGAAATTAAGTATATTGTTGCGTAACCCAACAAAATCCTCTTTAAAAATTCTGACGAGTTAAATAACCAGTATTAAGTAGTGTTACTTAGTTGTGTCCAACGAACCCTACCAACCCTACCTTCATAATAAAGAGAGATTCTGTGAATCTTTTGTAGAATTCAAATCTTACGTGCAACTATAGCACAAAATACAACTTGAATGCACAACAGAAAGTATTAAACTGATAAACCAGACCTTTTGACTTTATCATTTATTTTGCGAGATTATTTCGGTTTCCAGATGAGTCTCAGAAAAATCTAATAGAGGTATTATCTATGTTTCCAATATTTTGTAGATTAGATTATTCTAGTTTTGTTTGATAGTTGCCAACGAATGATAAACACAATATTTAATTATCTATGAATGGCATCCTCTTTATTGAGCTAATAACTTTGCATGATTGAAAATATGACGTTGCGGCTTCATTTAATTAGATAAAACAAAACAAAATGTAGGATGGGCAGGTGATATTATTTGTTTATTTCCAACTTAACATGCTGCTCTTTTATACAGACAAGCAAACTTTGATGTAGTGATGAATTTCATAATAATATTCTATAAAATGCGGATCGTTCGTGCAGAAAAAAATGCTTAAAACTGGATTGGAACTCCGACAAAATCTAGCTTGTAATTGGTCTTAGCGATCAATTCAACCAATCACATGTTCTTGTCAGTTAGATTTAAGATTAGTGCATTCGAAATACGGGTCCTAAGCGCCCACTTGGTCCAGTTCCGCTGACATTGAGGTTTCTAGTACTCTACTGTGCTCGCTCACGTGTAGAAAAGTGCAAATTGCAATACAAAGCGCGTCCGCCGCTATATGCAGCCGGCGGTACGTACTTCGGATAAAAGACCAACGATGACATATTGTCCCCTTAACGAGGTCTAGGATGAAACTACGACTCTGGATCTAGGTAGGTACAACTTTTTTGTTTCTATTTGAATTGCAATGTTCGCCTCTTGGCAGTTATTGGCAAGATCTAATTCTGAATCTTCACAGATAGGTAATTTTTTTTGTTCTTACGGTGAGAAGGTTCAGTGAAAATATGATTATCATTTATTTTGAATGATCAGGTTTTTCTTAAAAACTTTGTCTTTAAACAAATTTTTATTTTAAGGTATTTAGTCTAAATTAAAAGTGTATCATTCTATTTCGATTAATCATCTATGAAAATCCTTAGAATTGCTTGCAAGCCTTCTTCGAAACTAGACTGGACTCCTCTTCGAAATGAAAAGTTTTGGTTTACGGGAAAACTGACCGCAAAAACATTTTCACGCGAAGTGCACTGTGCGTGCATCATAGACAATATTGGCATAAATATTGCAATATTTACCTACGGTTTGAATTACTTCAAATTATCTGCTTGTGATTGTATTGATTGTGACGAAGAAGAACGTCATAATTTGTCAGTCGGTAAAATAAATGTTTAAATAAAATACTGCAATTTTTATAAAATATTTAATTCATTGTTTGTTACATTTATTGTTCTAATACTTAAAATAGGTATAGGTACCTAAGTAATTAATAACAAGTTGTGATGTCATAATATCGTGTTCTCTAGTGTGAGGAACTCAAAATTATTGTTGTCTTAATAACTATTTTAATAAAAAAAACGCTCATTTCATAATTTCAAAACAACTTACATAACTCATTTTATAGTAAACTTACAAAAATATAAAAGTAACCATTTAATTTTAATAATATGTATAAAAATAAACAACTTCTGTCTTCTTTATCTAACTGTTGGTGATTTTTTTTTTACCATTAAAATCTTATAACGAATTCTTATAAAGTTGTTGTCAGTTCGTCCGCAAATTGGTATTCTGAAGCCTTAAAATCTGGTTATTTTGTAAATGTAAGTTTATTTTGAGATGTTATAACTTAGATTGCGTAGTGTCATCACAACTACTTTATTTTTTCTTTCTTATGAAATTGCCATAATTTTCATACCTACTTATTATCATTCATGAGTAACTACATAAATTCCTGTAACTTAATTGGTAAGTATTACCATTTTTTTAATTTCTTTTATTTCTTCTTCAACATATAATCTGCAACAGTTTTCCAGGTACAGATTCTTAATTTCCGTGATATTTAGCTAACTTTTTTCAATGGGTAATTAAATGAATGTTTTGTTACATCATCATGAAGAATGATGAACCTATTTTTATTAATTTCATAAATGTTATTACTGAAAATTAAGTGTAACTGTCCATACGGAACGGCAATTTCATAGGTAAAATACTTTATAATGTAAATATTTAAATTAAATAATACCTTATCATTATTTTCATGATGGAGTTGAAATATCACAGAATATCCTATAGTCACTACGTACATACCTACTTATTATTTACCTACATATAAAAATATAAACGAGCATAATGATGTAATTTCATATAAATAATACAGAGAAAAATATAATTGGTAATATTTTATTGATCTTACAAAGATTTGAATGTATTTACCACATAAAATCTTCACAGGGTTCTAAAAAGCAATAAAAAATATTTACTCAAGTAAAACTCATACTTGCCGGTTTTTATACTATGCTTATTATAATAATATAATCTTATCACAATAGAGGAATGTGTATGTTGTTCTAAAAAAGAAGAAATGGCAATATGGTTATTCTTTTAAATGTGAAATACAAAACGAAATAAATAATCGTACAGACGACGTAAGTATTTAGCAAAAAAAAATATGGTGGCAGAGACAAAACATATAACTTTGTGCAATAATTTGATAAAAATAAACATAAAATATACAGATTAAAAAGATTAATGGTGTGATAAACAAAATATTACAAAATGTAAAATATGTTAATTATGTAGTATGTAAATAAAAAACTAAAATAGAGAGTGTGATTTAGTAGAACTTAAAAATTAAATTAATTCGTTAACTTATACTTAACTCGTATTATGGCACATTAAAATTAGAACCACCCATAATGAACAAAGTCCTTTAAACACTGTCATCTCTCACTTTGGATCATTTATTTACTTACGTAACTAATGTAATACATAATTTATTTAGGAGTGTCACAAGATAACTTAATATGGTGGATGGTAAGGGTCAAAAATTCGACTCTGTATTATTAGCTTTATTAAAGCTTCCGTAGTTTGGACCTTGACCCTAGTCTTTGGTTCAATTCCTAGGGATAAACACAAATATAGTTATTATTATTATGAATTTGTTCAAGTTTAATCGATACAAAAATATGTTAGTCAAGTTACTGGAAGGTGTAAACCTTACGGCCTTACGGCCAAGTACAGAACAACTAACTTAACCTAAAATGTTTCGAATCTCGAACTTTTTTCCATCAACATTCACTCGTGTATCCTTCTACCACATCATCATCAGTATAAAATTAAGTTTCTTTGTAACTATACCTATACATTTTTGATATAAAAATATTATTGTGATGGGCTTACCGCAGTAGGCATCCTAATCATTTCATCTATTTCAGACATAATACAATAAATTCATCCCTGCGTGTGAGTATTTCAGTAGAATGAACAATTTCAATATAGTGACTGCAACGAAGTCACGCAATCCAAAAGTCATAATTTAAACTGACCAAGTAAAAATGTGTTTTGAAACGTCTTAATCTTAAGACAACGCAATATTCAAATTATGGCAACATTCCCACTGTCTGTCTCGCGATATTGGCCCCTAAAAGTGCACGCACATCACTACCCTCACATGGGGTTCAGTTTGAGTTCGTCTTCCTTCAGCTTCTCGGCTGCTAAGTCCACCTTGTGCTTCTTCTTCGGGAAGCACGTGGCTAGGGCAGCCACGGTCGCGAACGCGAGAGCTGCGCCCGCGCACACGGTGGCTCCCCAGTCGAGGATGCTGCGGACCATGGCTAGCTCAACTGCCACGGTTTCGTCGATTAGCACTCGTTGCTGCACCCAGAAGACTGGGAACAGCATGCGTGGAACGTTCTCGTAGAGACTGCGGCAAGAAATAAAGATTTTGTTGTATTAATAAAACTAGAGAATTAGTTTTATAATTTAAAACTTATGCCAACATAGTGCACTATACTGGCTACTTAAATGGCTCTCCTGTAATATCTATTTTTTTCACTTACGCCAGTATACGTAGGAGCCATCGATATTGTCTATGGTACAAACTAAAACTGAATTTAGTACATCATCTTGCTATGTGGGAAAACCTAGTGTAACAAAACGCAGCTGTATAGGCAGCAAATACTTAGGTAATGCCTTCCAGCAGCTTTGGTAATCTACAGATTAATGATAATTGAATGGATTAATCTATGAGATGAGCTTTCATCTACCATTTTATCGTCCACATCCACATACACTAGCTTGTCCACACAAAAACAAATAAAATTCAACTCTCACAGAAAGTATGTAACGGACCCAACTAAGTAGTGCGGCTAAACAGGTTCCACGTCGGTTCCTCTAAGCAAGTCGTTGAATAATTTGATGGCACCTACTTAATCGTCTATGTCTACTAATATTATCCACGAGAAAAAAAACTTAGCTGTTTGTTTTTATGTTTAAACAAATGAACCAATTTGGATACATTTGGTAACAGTAAAAGACTGAATCTGTCAATGTGCCAAACCTATTCTTCAGTTAAAAGTTATCCGACGATTGAAAAATCAGCCCTAAGTATTATAGTTAACGTGTTGCCACTTGTCACCAAAAAACCTTTTAAGGGACAAAATTTTATAATATGGAGAATTTTATTGTCCTTTGGTAAGAAATAAAAAGTGTTCAGAACATAAAACTCTTACGCAGGCCAATGTTTACACAAAAAAAGCTGCTCGAAGAAACTTGCTATTAGATAAATGTTAGTTAATGTGATAAAGAAGGTACCTACCACCGGTCAAACTGGTTGAATTCAATTAACCTACTTCCTGATCAGAGAATGTAAGAACACTGTAATTACGAAGTTGGGTAGGTTCTACTGACACATGGATGATTTAGTCACACCAATAGTATCAACACACATAAAAAATAGGTAGGTAACCGAATATTCGAAAAATAACTAACGTTCTCATTACACATACCTACGAAAAGACGGCCTTGAGGAACTAACTAGGAAGACGGGCTATAAATTATATTATTAGAGGGTCAACATCACGTTTAAATTATTATTAGTGCTTATTATACTTGATTAATGTAGAAGAGATACTCACGCAACATTAGGATTTGGCTCCAAATAAATGTTAAGTTGAAACCGCGCTGCGACATCCAGAGGGACTCCCAATCTCTGGAAGGAACAGTAAAATTATTAAATTAAAGTAATTATTTCAATTACCTTGTCTTACAAAACTGTTTGACCACGAATATGCGGTTATGCTAAAGCAGATTAGGTCATTGATACTGTCCTTTGGCTTGTTCATGTAAATAAATAAATCGTTGGGAACTCGTTTTTTGTGGTAATAGGTTGAAAACACATCAGACTACAAGATTATTTGTAAAACATCAGCAACTAGATAGCTGACATCATTATGCAACAACATCTTGTTCTACGAATTAAAGTAGTCTTAGGCAGCGCGCATCGCGCGTAGGGTTGCCAGGCGTCCGGATAAAGCCGGACATAGTTAGGCTTTTTGATTGCGTGTCCGGCCAAAATAACCTATGTCCGGCCTGTCCGGATGTTGTTAGGCTTTTTATTTGGTTGCCGCGCCAGGCGAAAGTCGGGCCACAGAATAAGGCACGCACGCATCAGGACGTTAGGCATCCGATGATGATAGTACTCACTAATTGCACTCCCCCCCCCCCTCCCCCGTCGCATGTCCGGCTTTTAGGGTAGAATGTCCGGCCAAATGAAGCACATAGTCCGGCTTTTGTGTTTTTGGACCTGGCAACCCTAATCGCGCGCCGTTGAATGGGTATCGTCCCTTAGGGTGCATTCGGTTGGTGCGAAGCCGCGAAAGAATGTCTAGGCCTTTAGCTCGGACAATAACTCGCAGTTCCGTCCCAAAGACTTTGGAGGACACCGTCAGGTTTTAGTGAGTAGGCCCTGCCCATCTGGCAAGGAGAACTTCACATAACCCACTGGTTCCCCTGGGCAAGTGGCTTTGCAATTTCATGCATTTCCCGATGAAAAAACATAACCCTCCTTCTGGCGCAGCCGGATAAAAAAGGGTGCATTCGGTAATGTTGAGTATCTATCTCACTTACCGGCTCCACAGCAAAATAGAACGAGTGCTTCTCAGGGTCTGGCTCCATGCCTGTGACCATGTCTCTGAGCTCAGGGTCCCCGTGCAGAAAGTGTGGTAGCGACAAGAAGGACGGCGAGCCGAAGCGGCACGCAGACACGTTCATCACGCCGCCCCATGCGCACGCGCCGTTGCAGAAGCACGCGTTGTTGGACGACATAGATGCTGGGGAAAGATTCGTTTATTTAATATGACTAATGGAAGAGCGTTGCTCCCCGATACAGGCTCATTAGCTTAAAAGGGCGCAGTTCTGGATCATTTTGCAGAACAAAACGTTATAGATGATCAGACATTGGGGAAAAGGTTGGATTTCTCAATCCAAGAAGCTCTGGCTCTTTTAAATTCATCTGGTCATTGGAGTCCCACTGCAGGAAGTCGATCTTCTTTAATATACCAGAGGCATTGGAGGAGAGGAGTTCAAAGAACCTAGTGTGAGGGACAAAAACTCAAGTAGTGATTGCAAACAGGGTAAATTTACTATTATCCCAGAACTCTCAACGAAATCAATTTGAAGAAAATTTGAGAATGCCATACTTGTGGCCACGAAGACCATGGTGACCGTGCAGTACAGTATGCTACATTTTGTTGTGCATGACAAGGCAAGTATTTGACCGCAATCGCACCTGGTGTTAAGTGAGATGCAGTTCCGGATTATACATATCTGTCCTGTAAATGCCTATTCACTCTCGCCTTGAAAAGGCCTGGATTATAGTGTTCAGGAAAGACTGCAGGAGCGTACAATAAGGCGTTGAGTAAGAACCTCACAGTTATCGAAGCTGGAGCGCGAGATGCCGTACTTATGGTACATAAGGCCGGCGTGCTCCCCGCTCCCCTCGTAGTCCATGGCCACGGTCCGGCACAGCTCCGGGATGAACATCTCCAGCTGCGAGTCCTCGTCTAAACTCCGGGACATGAACTCGCCAGCGCTGCCTGACAGCTGCAAAGTTGGAGATGTTTCCATTAGTGACTGGTTGCATTTACCATCGTAAAGAATGACAATTACAAGATAGATAGATGCTCTGTAAAGTGAACCAAGACTGCCACAGACTAAGGCAGTATAGAGGGGGCACAAAAACCATTGGGACCCGAGAAGACAGCAGTTTAAAAGTGATCATTGCATTAGTGCTCCTCGCTCACTTTAGGCTGCTGGTGTGGTGTCCCCTTTTTTGTGCATCTTGCCCAATTTGCAAAGTCAAAGTCAAAATTTCTTTATTTGTTTAGACTAATAAATAGTTCTTACAAATCGTCATTTTGCTCTTAAGGAGCCTCTACATGTCTCATAATCTTTTTACCCTACCAGCGCTTCGAGACCAACATTTGGCAAGTGCTGAGAAGAAGCGCCGCAACAAACTCAGTCACCACTGTCTGCCGGTTAATATAAATAAATATAAATAGTAGTAGTAGGTACATTCGATTCAGGAGCAGTTCACTGAATTTACCATGCATTCTTGTATGGTGTATCTTATAAGAATGGGTATACAAGATTGCGTAGTATATTAAACAAGGTAGTGACGTGCTAATATCTAGACTTACATATTAAGATACTAGTAGAAATGACTCGCATACATAAATTTGAATAACTTGGATTGACCAGTCCCCGAAAGCAGCGCCTGTTCACAGACATGACGAGTGAACCAGCCATCGCTTCACTCGACCATATTAGAGGGAATGTAACGACCCGCAAAAAGCTTTACAAGTTTTGTAATATTGTTAAAAGTTAACTAGCCAAAAGCATGATACCACGATGTAAAACTGAACATCGCCTTCTATTTCGAAGACGTCAGAACTAAATTATTTTTACCTTGGCGCACTCGCCCTCATAGAACGGGAGGTGGTCTTCGTGATTCCACCTGATGATTTGTCCCGGCAGCGTGCCTCGGACTTGTCCTGTAGTCACCTCCAAGTAGCCGTCATTATCCAGGGAGTTGTTCCTCTGCGAATAAAGAAAGGCATAATATTATAATAGTGTTAAGTAGACTACGAAATGTACTTGAGAATATACACGTGTTGATTGCTGTGTAAAAATGTTGTAGTGATAACACATAACTTTAAAAAAAAACCGACTACAAATGCGTGAACACAAATAATACCAATTCAACAAAAAAATAATCGTTCAAATTGGTTCATAATCGGCGGAGATATTGCGTATAAAAAAGTTCATCCCCAATTTTCCACCCTTGGGGGTGAAATATTTTCTTCAAATTCGCATGAAACCACCCTTTTAATAATACCTATTCAACAAAAAAACAATCGTTCAAATTGGTTTATAATCGGCGGAGATATTGCGTATAAAAAAGTTCATCTCCAATTTTCCACCCTTGGGGGTTGTTTTTTTTATTATTAAATTTAAATGGGACCACCCTTGAGGTATTACCTATTCGCCTAAAAAAGATTTGTTCAAATCGGTTCATAATTGGCGGAGTTATCGCGTAACAAACATAGAAAAAAAACATACGGGTCGAATTGAGAACCTCCTCCTTTTTTTGAAGTCGGTTGAAAAGTACCACTTGTTTATTTAGAGACACACGTTCAAGTAGCAATACTATCAATCGAGAAAACTTAGTCATTCATTTGTTTTGTCCGTTTACTCCACTTTTCATCAATTCATGTTCGACAGATAATACTGCCACTCTCTACTACTCTTTGGCTTGTTACATTTAATGGACTAAGTACTCATAATGTTCTTTGCTATCAACTGCATTATCTTGACCTCGACTAAAAGTTGGTTAAAGGACTTGGTAACGGGCATTGGTTGTTCGTGTTTTGGAATTTTGGCAGGCGGAATGCCTTAGGGCCATTTCGTTGCCGAATTTCGTAGCTGGCTACAAAGTGGGACTGGCTTCATACAGACAAGCTTCGAAATTAGATTTTTTTAGCATTTCGTAGCCATCTATGAAAGGCTGGCTCTGCCTGGTTCAGCCTGTCTCTTGGTATACTATGGGCCACAAAAGAGTTGCCTAGAATAACTGTTTCTATCTATGCCCATCTTACCTCGTAAAACCACCCAAATCTGTCGATAGGGGGTGCACCACCAGTAGTGCTGGGTGGCAGACTCTTCGCCAGCTCCAGGAGAGAGTCTTCGTAACCCTCGAAGAGTAATTCCCTGGCTAGTTTGGACACGGAGATGTGTTGGCCGAACATAGCGAGGCCCATGGAGAGACCTTTCTGCTGGAAGAAGCCCCAGAATCGGGACCGATAGACCGCTGACTGAAAACAGAAAAATAATTGATTGTTTCATTCGCTGCTACGTAAATTTTAGCATCATCAAGGTAGATAATGTCGACGCGAATTTTGTCCAAGTCACATATTACGACCAAGGTGTAGAGTTTTTTAAATTAGTGAGTAGAGTTAGAAGCTTGGCTCTACATGATCGATCTCTGATCCGTATAACTAACCTACGCCACACTATCTCAAAAATAAATAAGCATGTTCTTAACTTAATTGAAGGGCAAGTAAGTCATAAAAATAAACGACAATTTTTAATCTGCTCTTATCTCATCAATTAGCGTGTTATAAAATATACTGCAATTGATAGATAGGAAATCAATGAACATATTGTAGTTGGAAGATATAAAAAGGAAAAATCTATAAATATACCGATAGTTATAAAAATCTTTTGCATCGGACTTTCCGATTGAAAAGGTCAACTCCTGTGCCCTGTTACATAACAAGTTATCGGGGTGTCAGGTGTCACAAACAGGTTACACAAGCGATTGATGTACAGAAAGTCCTTCTGAATGGACTGGACATGACATCGTTATATTTTACGTAATCCCGTTGAATCCCGGTATTATAAAGTTTTAACGAGCTTCGTTATAGTGCACTCATTGTCAGGACCTCTCAGGACAGAACGGCAAAGGATTCGAGTGACAATAAAGTAATTTACCTTAACACCAAAATGCTACAGCTCACATTGCAATGATAGTATAAATCGGATGCTATTCATTTAAGTTAGTCTGCTTAAGGATATTAGCAATGGCTTCGTAACATTTAAAAAAACAGGCCAAATGCGATCCCTTTCATTCTATATTCTATAATAGGATCTATCCTATAATCTACATCACCAACATACATAGCTAATGTTTTTCACTTGCGAATTACGGAATAAAATTTAATTAATTCATACATATTAAAATAATGACAGATAAAATAAACAATAAATGATTGAGTTTACTTAGAAGCACCAACGAAGAATTGCCCGATACCAAATGTCCATACTGATTAACAGCCCGACCCAACTATCGGCCAACTAAAAGTCGGTGGACTGCGCCTAGGCTAAGAAAACGCAAAATGTAGTACAACCAGAATATGAGCCAATACATCGCTACACTTACAGCGGCGATGACATTCAAGGTGGTGATGTTGTCCTGCAGGGTCCCGTTGCTGGTGGGGTCGAAGTGCCAGCTCTTCAGGTTGCGGTACGACACCGAGCCGTTGTGGGGGTGCCACGTGATGTTCACGTGCCGCCGGTACTCCCGGAACCGGTATGGACCTAGAATATTAAATAGGTAAAGATTTTAAACTTTTACGTTCCATTTCGATGAGTTACATTATGTCCTCACGGCTTGACGTTTCGGCTGCTATGCTGCAGCCGTGGTCACAAGCAGACTGGCGGCTCGCGGCGTCGTCCGTTCGGGCGGGCTTGAAAATTTTCAACTACCTTCATATTGTCATTTGTTACACCACTAGTGATGTTACCACGACACACAACACTCACAGTATCCGTATTCGTACTTGACGGCAATACTCACTTGCCAGTCTGCTTGTGACCACGGCTGCAGCATAGCAGCCGAAACGTCAAGCCGAGAGTGAGACCCGTGTCTTTCTAATTAATTAGGTATTCCATCATCACGACATTTACCCCCTTACTAATAAAACTTACACGCTCGTTGAACAGTGTTTTAAAGTGACGTTTAGTATGGAAATGTCATTTTAAAACAGTGTTCAACAACTGGGTAACTTTTTATTAGTAAGGGGGTTAGACTGCACTGACTGCACTGCAGGAGCGCAACCCTCTGTATTTTAGCAGAGAAAAATGAAGGATTTTGTCTAAACTCCCCACACTGGCCAGACAGGTTGGAAAATTGGGTATTTGACACACTTTAACTACTTACCACCCCAGTACCAGTCCACAGCACATTACTTAAACTATATCTACATTTTTATTGCAATATCCTATTACATCGTGTTTAACTTGATGTTGTACTTTTTTAAAATTCCAATAATAATTAAAGGCCCAAAAGAGCAAATATGTATCAGGTAATCTACATAGAGGAATTATTGGTTTATTCTGAACGGATCGGGCTGAAATTTGGCATGCAGGTAGGTAGATGTTATGACGTAGGCATCCTCTAAGAAAGGATTTTACGAAATTCCACCCCTAAGGGGGTAAAACGGGATCCACGCGTACGAAGTCGCGGGCGGCCGCTAGTCATATATATATATATATATATATCTATTATATAAAAGAAAGTCGTGTTAGTTACTTCGCTTATAACTCAAGAACGGCTGAACCGATTTAGCTGAAAATTGTCAGGGAGGTAGTTTAGAGCCAGGAGAAGGACATAGGATAATTTTTATCCCGTTATTTATTGCCATTAAGGCGGAACAAAGTTCGCCGGGTCAGCTAGTAATCCATAAAATTAATCTTCCTTCGGAAGGAATATTAACTTTATGACGTAATCCTAAGCGTAGTTATCATAAGTTGGAACCTTTTCAATAAACGCAACCCGCCCCAGCGCTTTCACCACCCTCATGCCTTTAGCTTTGAATACTTCCCCCGGCCGGTAGGGGGCACTGTGCTTAGGTAAATCGCGATATCATTTTTTCCCAATCTACTAAAGCATTGAGGGTTTATTATGACGATTAGTAATTAGCATTGTTCTTATGGCTGTATTTCTGTAATATAAGGCATAAGTGTGTAGTGTCTTAAGTCGAAAGTATTTTACCAATGCGTGTTGCCAGTGATGGTAAACGGATCTGAGACGTGGTCGCTTACTATGGGCCTCATAAGAAGGCTCAAGGTCACCCAAAGGGCGATGGAGCGGGCTATGCTCGGAGTTTCCCTGTGTGATCGAATCAGAAATGAGGAGATCCGCAGGAGAACCAAAGTAACCGACATAGCTCGCAGATTTGCTAAAATCAAGTGGCAGTGGGCGGGGCACATAGCTCGTAGAGACGATGGCCGTTGGGGCAGGAAAGTTCTCGAGTGGCGACCACGGGCTGGAAGACGTGGCGTGGGCAGGCCTCCTACTAGGTGGACCGACGATCTGGTAAAGGTCGCGGGAAGAGCCTGGATGCGGGCAGCGCAGGACCGTTCATTGTGGAAAACCTTGAGGGAGGACTTTGTCCAGCAGTGGACGTCATTTGGCTGAAAAAGAAAAAGAAAAAAAGAAGGCATAAGATGGCGAAATATTAGAAACTAGCTTTCCGCCCGCGGCTTCGCCCGCGTGGAATTTTGTCTGTCACAGAAAAACTTTATCGCGCGCGTCCCTGTTTCAAAAACCGGGATAAAAACTATCCTATGTTCTTTCCCGGGACTCAAACTATCTCTATGCCAAATTTCATCAAAATCGGTTGCGAGGTTTAAGCGGGAAAGCGTAACAGACAGACAGACAGACAGACAGACAGAGTTACTTTCGCATTTATAATATTAGTTGGGATTTTTGAACGGGCATTACTTTCGAAAAGCTCTGCCCGAAAATCGAAATAGACATAATACATAATTATTATGTCGAAATAAAGCAATAATGCCCCCACGGGTGATAAATTCGGTCGATAGAGCCTAGATAGAGATTGTATAGTATGTTTGATAACATAGGTTAGATATTTTTTATAAAAAAAAATGGTCCAATGAGCAATTTATAAAAACTTCATTGCTCCCAAATAATAAGTTTTAAGGCCCTTAAAACATGGAATAGGAGTTTGTTTACTTAAGATCTTCTCATTAAATAAATTAGTGCCCTGCGAAGGGTCTACTTAATATTACATTTGAATTTGATATTCAGACCAATTCCTTTTCTTAAACTTTTTGCTTTTTGGTGTTTTTAGGGAAATGGGAATTTTGCTAGAGGATTTTTTGACGGTTTTTTAATAGTTGGGAGGCTATTACAAAACCTACAGGAAATCTAGAGACTGAGTTTATTGAGAATTACGGTAGAGTTGGCAGCACTTATTTAGTTCATATTTAACATCGGTTAACCAAAATAAACTCTATCATTTAGTACCAAATAAATACTTTTTCTTTCTTTATTTAAACAAAGTAAAAGCGATATTTAGGAAATATTAGTTATAAGATTTAGACTAAGAAAAGAAACTATATTCAAATATTATTACTATCTAAATATATACCTATATAACTTAAAGGTGAATGACTTACTGTCTGACTGACTGACATAGTGATTTAATAACGCACAGCCCAAACCACTGAACCACGGTAATACTATCTATACAGTATTCCAACTCGGCCATATTTTTGAAATAAATGTCAACAGTCGCGCGGTACGTCACAGTATGACAACATGCGATAGGGCTGCCCACCTACAGTACCCAGTTTAATTACATCTGCCTACTTAGAATTTCTATATGTACAGTTTTGTGACTGTATTTTTTATTTAGTTAGACAAACAAAATACTTTGTGAATGGAATAGGTTACAAATGTGTGTTGTTTTGTGATTAGTAGATTTAATTTAGTAAAAACTACTTAAATAATTTTGAAACTTTAATAATCATAATGATCTGTTAGGTACGTTAATTTCGGGCGGGCGAAGTCGTGGGCAAAAGCTGGTTTAATACAATATAATTTTCATTTCAAATCAAACTGACTGAAAATGACAATTTGACTAGTTTTTGACCGTAAATGACGGTCAGTCAAATTCAATCAGTGTTGTCATTTTCAACATTTGGCCACCGACGTCCATTCGGCACATTCGCGACACCCCCGACTTTTGCATACCGAGCGCATACCGAGATTTGAATTTCGAAAGAAAGTTCTCGTTTCGTCTGTTAATATGAAGTTACAATACTGTATGATAAATTATTACCGTGACTGAACGGATCGGGCTGTTTGGCATGCAGGTACATAGATGTTATGACGTAAGTTATCAGCTAAGAAAGGATTTTACGAAACTCCTTACCTAAGGCCCAGAACAGACAGTGAAACGTAACTGCAACGAAACTGCAACTTTCTGATGATTCTGATGAATGAAACTGAAACTTTCAAACTGGTCGCGTCATGTGTGGTCTCTCAACGGACGCTTTGGCAGAAACTTAGATGCAACTCAAAAGTAACTAGCAGTTGCAGTTGCGTTTCACCGTCTGTTCTGGGCCTAAGGGGGTAAAACGGGATCCACGCGTACGTTCCAGCAATTGATGAGCACACGAAAACTAATTTATGCCAACCAATCCAATAGCGACCGATCAACTTCAATAGCAATTTCGGTTATTGCCAATCAATGTCATATTATCATCCAAAGTTCATGGCACAGTAAGGAATTATTTAGATGTATTTTATAGTGAAACTGCGGTGCCTTCTAATTTCCCGGTTAAAAAAATATATTGCCCCCCCACCACAAAAAGTTATCGCGCATTTGACACTAACATAAATTTATATTTAGTGGAAATGACATTTTAAACTAGTGTTCAATGCGCGTTAAACTTTTTTGTGGTAAGGCTATTATATCGATGGACTACTCGATCGAAACCATTTTCGATATGTGTTTAATAAAATCAATAAACTTCATCTGTTTCGGTATTAAGGTAACTACAGACAATGGTACTGGCAACTTATGCACAGTTAGGTAATAGATTATTTTTTTGCAAATAAAAAAGTATAGGCAGTCATTTAATGTGCTGCCTGACTGTGTGTGATTGTGAGTAGGTACTACTTAGGCGGAATGATTTTAAGACGAATACACGCCTCGTCTTCATCGTCACCAAGTCATTGCAGGAGCACAAGCCTCTAATTTACCAGAAGCAAACCGAGCCGAGTTTGGGAGGTCTGGTGTTTGCATGCTTAGTAGCCACGTTGCCTTTAGCAAGGTATTTTCGGTGTCTAAGGGCACTCGCCCACGGCGACTTTTTGTAGTGATGCTACTAACGCGCGTTAGTCGCATTTGCAACGCACTACAGAAGTGATGCCAACGCGCTACTAACGCGCTACAGCAGCGCGACTGTATCGATGCAAACGCGCGACCGGACGACATCGGGGAGAGAACGGAGGGAGCGTTACTGAATCGCGTTTGCATCGCGACAGTAGCGCGTTTATGTGGGCGAGGGCACACAGCTAGCGAACGCATTGCGACTGTATCGATGCGAACGCGCGACAGAATTGCTACTGCATCGCTACAAAAAGTCGCCGTGGGCGAGTGGCCTAAACACTAATTTCTAGTTTGATCTCTCAATCACAGAATAATAATAAGTACTACGTACAGAAGTTTTTCTTCGCGAAGGTATTTAAAAAAATGTATGCTCAATGTCATTAACAATATGGTGTAATTTAGCCTGTCTCAAGAGTCAAGCACCATTTTGTTGACAAACGTCAGTGATCGGCACTGCGCCGAAGCTATAGGGCTGACTTCGGTAAAATGATGTGACGTGAGGTGCCAAACTGCGGAAAATGGCGGAGGAAATACATGATTTAGCCATTGAAGTAATATTAGTACGTAGTACATTATAACTCAATGGATTTAGCATGAATTATCATGAGTAATATTAACTACTTATTTACCTCTCAGTGTCTTGAGGCAACTTAAAAAAGTACATTCTGTGTTTTTATTATTATTTAGGCATTTAAATACTGCACAGTATTTAGTACACCATTTTCTTTATTTTCTTCCATCATACACAAGAATACGCGTGCGTGAGACAATGTTCGCTCGTATGTGAGGCCTTGTCGAATAGTATCCTGTAGGTGAGCCATCGTGCGTGTTTTGTTTTCGATGTAAACTCGTGGAGATGAACAGGCCTGTCTCAATATTGACTCACCAAGTTGCACCAGGTTGGGCTTCTCCAGCGGGAAGTTCTCCGCGTTGGTCCAGTTGTAGAGGTAGACCTCGAAGTACAGCGGCATGGAGGGCGCCACCCAGTCGCGGTACGAGCGGGAGCCCGGGCTGAGGGCTAATTGCTGGAACAAGAGGGACCACTTAGAAACACTGTGATTAGAAACGTTATCGTCAGTCATAATCAGGTCATTCAGACTCCACTGCAGGAGGACCAGGAGCGGACTTCAAAAAGGTTGAGGGCAAATCACAGCTTCCTGAAAATCGGCAATAGTTTTTTTTTATGTGACAGGAGGCAAACGAGCAGACGGATCACCTGATGGTAAGTGATTACCGTCGCCCATAGACACCCGCAGACCCAGGGACGTTACAGGTGAAGATACGCTCTCCTCTTGAAAGCTTGCAGGTCGTATCCGTCCGGAAACACCGCAGACGACAGTCCATTCCACAGTTTGGTAATAGTATAATAATATACTCATCTGAGGAGGACGACCCACTACTTTCATCATCATCATCAACAGCCCTTTATAGTCCACTGCTGGACTATGAGCCTCCTCTACTATAGTGTACAATCTGTGTGTGACCCTCTACTTTACTAGAGGTAAACGGGATAATTTGGCATACACCCATGCTGACAAGGCGAGTTGGGGAAGCCTAATGTTCCCTATATTTCTCCCATAGTCACCTCTTAGGCCATCCACGGGAGAGTGGGAGTAGACCAAAACGAATCTCTTGGAAGCAGATTCTTTGAAATGTACAGTAGAAACTTGTGCAAGACCGGAAAAGTGATTCTGCATGTGAGTTCCTCTTTAAACCATACAAAGGTTGAGAACTCCCTACGCATAAATGACAAGAGTTGACCTCAATTCTTTAATAGGCTTATTTCTGTGCAAGTGCAAATGAAATAATTTACTGTCGACACCTGCACAAAGGAGACATTGGACCGACGGACTGCTGGATAAGAATCGTCAGGTTTTGGGCAAGAATACACTTCCAAAATGATAAATGAAGTACCTAATAGAGCAAATTATTTCGTTATGGAAAGTCAATGGGACTTTTTTTCAAAAATATTTTAGAATTTTATTGTGATTTAGTGTTGGCAAATACATTCAACTCCAACTTAGTAATCATATCGAATTTCGGACTAATCTAAGTTCACTAAGTATCAAGTTTTTTCTTAACTAGGTAGGTACTTAAGATAAGCACATGTGCGTCTGTAACGAGATTGCAATGCCTATTAATTAATTCGAATCAGATGACTTTTTATTATGACGCAAGTCTTTGACGGCATACTATAAGGCACAAGGTAATCATCAGTCATCAATTGGCAGTCATTGCGATCATGTTTCAGTCATAACTGTCGTAACTGCCCAGATGTCCACTGATTAGGAGCTTATCCCGATTCAATTGGCAAGGTGAATTGGATGCAATTGAGTCATATTGATTCGTGGTCGTTACGACCATCGCTGACAAAAGCTCAAGTTCGGGCCAAGATCATATGAATTAATCTAAACATGACTTGATAGATTATTTATTTATTTATTCCACAACCTATAATGATTCAATTATTGCTTTGCTTAAGCTTAAGCTTAAGCTTGGAAATAAATAAATAATAATAATAAAATAAAAATATTTCGTAGAAAAATGAAACTTGCTACGTCCTGAACATTCCCATTTCGTTCGGCCAACTACCGATCAGTAAAAAAAACGCATAAAACTCATTTACTTTTGCAAATAAGCTTTCAAAAAGCACTTTTACACGTCCCAATTTTAACAGTCACATATTACACATCACATATCGACAAGATTAATAATTATTTAAATAAATTAAAAATGGAAATGAAATAAGATCTTAGCCAGTTCAGAAGCGTATTCCTAATTGATTATTGATTTCCAACATTACTCAATTTAACAAGCATTTAAGGCCGGGTAGCAGAGAAAATGGTGAAAATGAGGTTTTCATTTTTCATTTTTGAGGTACTAAACAGTAAAATAAAAGGCTAAGATTTTTTTTGAGCATAGTTGAGGATATTTTCTAGGGCTATTAACGGATGGAAACACGATTTGATGAAGTTGACTCGATAGAATAAATTCCCAAAGTTACCTCTATTCGTTTTCTAATAATGGTTTTATTTTTAAAATAAGCGATTTGAGATTCTGAATCTTTTACTAAACTAAAGTTCAGAAATAACTTGAGGGCTTTTAACGGATGAAATTTTTATATTGCGTCTTATTTAGTTACTATGTTAAAAAATGTGGAAAAAATCGCCCATGACGGCTTGGACAATCTCAATCAGTCGCGCGGTGGCGCTTACGGAGGACGGACGCGTGCCAGTTTTTTGGGCCCATGACGGCTTGGACAATCTCAATCAGTCGCGCGGTGGCGCTTACGGAGGACGGACGCGTGCCAGTTTTTTGGACGTGACAGTTCTCGATTTGTCAATATTTTTGACAATGATGACTTTGATGAGTCACAGTATAATAATATCAGTGTTACTGGAGAAAGCTAAAATTTTTGATATTTAAGAATTCTGAATTTTGTCTACCTATTGAAATTTAAATCGTTGGCATCCTTTTAAACTAAGACTCTACTCATGATACATTCCTCAAATATGAGACAAAACCAATGAGTTAAAATTACATTTTAATAGTACCCACATACAATCGTCTTCACTCTTTAGAAGAGCACACTGACACAAATAAATAAAAAAAAAATAGGTCAGTGTGTCAAATATAGGGGCAGCTGCACGTCACTGAAAGACGATTCTGTTTACTCGGCATCTGGGCTGGAGAACATGAATCCTTGCTTACAGATGCAGGTATAAATAGAGTTATAATTGGACAAATTTTACATGAAATGAATATTAGTTGGGATTATGTAAGAGCATAATTATTAAAGTCGAAGTCAAACATTATTTATTTGTGTGGACCTATATTAACGAGAGATTACAAGAGATTACAAGGCGTCAAATATTTCAAGAAAAAAATTAAAAACTATTATAAAGCTAAATTTTGCTCTCATGGAGCCTTTACCTACTCTGACAAATTAAGACTTAGAGAAGAAACTAATAATAAAACTATTTAACTGTCCTGCAATGAAAAGCTTGATCGGGTACAACACCTCAAGTTATTTCAGAACTTGATTTCATTAAAAAAACTCCGAATATCAAATCGCTTAGGTATCTAAAGACAAACGATTCTGAAATGTCAAGTGGACTAATGAATAACCCATTAAGATAGTAGCGCCCTCCTGTCAATGACATACCTGGAACGATAGAGTTTTGAACAACTAATAAAAATGCTTTGTCCTAAATGACTGACGGATATCGTAGAGACCTGAAAGTTGGAAGGTGTGTTCTTTTTATGACGTAGGCATCTCATAAGAAAAGATTTTCCGAAATGGGGTCATGAAATGAAGGGGGTGAAAAAAGGGGGCAAAGTTTGTATGGGACAAAGTGATTCCTTGGTTCAATCTACTTGAAATTTAGTTTAACAATACCTTAATATAATTCATGAAAGACGTGTGGAACGGGTAGAAAGTAATTTTGGCAGTCATTTTCTTCGAAGTTGATATCAATACTACTTAGTGCCTTTGATTTAATTACTTTTTATTTTTACAAGTGTTTGAAAACTCCATTTCAGATTGTGTTCAATGTCAAGTGAAATCTCAAATTGAAATGTCTCAATCTCAATGAGGAGACTCTGTATTTATTCCTAGAATTCCCCAAACACCGTCAAATTACCCTTTCGAATTCAAGACAGTGCAGTTTCCCATCAGTCTGCTTCGTAATGACTATAAACAAAGCTCAAAGTCAAACTCTAGGGACCTCTGCTTAAACTCCCATGAGTGCACAGAGGTACGCAGGTAACCGCGTGTGATGCTTATAGCAATTTTCGATAGGTACAGAACCCCGTACATACGTCATACATATTATAGAAAGAAAACACCCAGACCAATACAAACAAATATGTTTCTGCAATTTTAGTATGATATTTTTATTTATTAATAAACAAAGAGACTGAACAAAATTGATGCGTACCTATACTGATTAATGTTATTAACCACATGCAAAGCTTCGTGAATTGCAACAACTATAATTAAATTTATTATCCAAGCTCTAAATAATCGCTACTAAGAGTAACTTATCATAAAAAAAAATTCCAATCGCTCAAGCTCCCAAGGGCCTACCGATAGGTCGGGTGACGTAATCTTGAAATTCTTTAAGCCGGCGCAGAACTTCCAGAAGGTCGGGCGACGCCACGGCCACTTTGAACAGTGTTTACTTCTGCAGTTATATTTTATATTTATTCGATTCTAGAATATATTCCCAAAAAGTCTGAAAGGTGTTTTAATTTGTATCACTTGGATATGATTTCTATTAGAAAGTGTTGTGAGTGTGACGCTTGAAAGGAAGGAAGTCAACCTAACCTAACCAACTGCGTATTTCTATACTGTGTAGCTGGAAATTGTGGCGGGAGCTCTTTGACGCGCTGTTTTCGGCGAAGAATTGCGCGCGCAGATTTTGACAGCGCGAAATACCTACTTTAGAAGAAATACCAAGCCTTAATTATTCAATCGATATTTTGATTTTGTAACATCCAGCCACTACCTGTTATCATCATAATTGTTATTGTAATGCTCTGAGCCTCTGATAAGCCGCTGATAAGGCTAAATGTCAATGTACGGTCACGCATGTGCAGCGAAATACCTAAATAACATCTCGAAACGCGGAACTGTCAGCTTATTATCAAGTCTTTCGGGTTATATAAATTATATTATCTTTAATAATTGCTTTTTGTGTTCACAAAATTCATTAAATATGATTTTTTTCTAAGGCACCCAAAAAAAATTAACACAATTTACCATTACATTTGGAGCCAATACCTACTCCAAAGCAAGTCCACACAATAAGTCTCTTGTCACGCTATACTTCTGAATTTGAACTGCGTATGCAGCAATGGTCATATTGTTATCACTTCGCCACACTTTAGGCCACAAAATAACACTACAATGATACCATGAGAGATCATGGAGCCAGAATATGTACATCCCTGCAGACCCTGCAAGCACTTCGATTAAAGACTATGAAGAGATATTAGCAATATGTTTTATAAATCAATAAAAACATAATCCTGTCCATAATGACACTTAAGTGCCTAAATTGGTAATACATTAGTGGGCAGATTATAACTGCAGGGCTTCAGTCACGCGACGCACTGTTTTAATTCAATTTGTTTCGTGTACACGTGCTGTATGGCAATGAGCCCTGATTTTATTGGATACTAGCTTTCCGCCCGCGGCTTCGCCCGCGTGGAATTTTGTCTGTCACAGAAAAACAATATCGCGCGCGTATTTACTCACCGTTTAGACCTACCCTGGACTACGACAAACATTTTAAAACCAAAATCAGCTCAATCGGCCCAGCCGTTCTCGAGTTATAATCAGACTAACGAACATCAATTCATTTTTATTTATATAGATTAATAAAGGATCAAGGGAAAGAGAATATTGTTATTATGGATGGAAATATTGGCAATGGTTGGGTTTTATTGAACCCTTTCAGCCTGGAAAGATGAAATAAGGAAAACAATGAAATAAAGGGGCTAAAAAGATGGAAACAGGATGATTTGATGATACAGATCAAAACGTCATGATGATGAACCCAGACAATAGTTAATTAAAGCCTCCTTAAACATACTTAGGTATTGGTACAACAAAGTTTAGACTCTCTCTTGGATGGGGTACTTACATGTGCCGGAATATAGAAGAGTGGAAAAACAAACCCTGAGAAAGAGTTCCATTCCCACGCAGTCCACATGATTAAAGTAGAAGTTCGTTCGTATCCGGGAGATATCTAGTTATATTAAAATTATGAAGACCATATGGAATCACATGAGATGGTAGCTTGTGGAAACCGGGCTTATCAGGTCCAGGCCAGGGCGGCGCCCAGAGTTGCTTTGGCCAGCGTACAAATCGCTGTAAAAACAGTAAAATGTCTATTGCAAAGTGTGTGAAATCACAAGGGGGTGTGTACCTAGGTAGTAAAAAGATGGAATCCCATAAAAGTGGGAGTCTCATAATACTTACAGAAGCCAGAACAGAATCAAAGATGGCGGTCCAGGCCAGGGCGGCGCCCAGGGCTGCGATGGCCAGCAGCGCGCCGCCGCCCGCCACGATCCAGCGCCAGCGCGGCGTGCGTCCGCGCATCCTTGCTGAAACAACAGATTCATTATTTATTATAAGTTTATTAACGTTTTATGGATAGTTAGATGCAATAGATAGATAGATACTCTTTATTGCACACCGCACAAAAAAAATACTTGGTGCATACGACACAATTAATAGGCAGTCTTATCGCTAGGAAGTGGTTTCTTCCAGACAACCCAGATACGCCAAAGAACTTGACAATTTTCATCATTCGTTCGTTTTATTTTATAGGTGCTTTTGCTCGTGACTTCGCTTATTTCGGTCTGAAAGGGAAAGAAGGTTTATCACGTAAAGTAGGTACATACCTACTCGTGAATAAAGTCTTCCGTTTCATCTACTTAACCGGTTTAATGGTTAAGTAGATGAAACGGAAAGAGTAACAAACATCCATCCATTCTCACTCATAATAAAGGTAAAGGGTAAACTGTCTAATGTCAAGAAAAAAAAATCGATATTATCTTGCTTCAAAGGGTATGCTCACGTGACATTGGCAAACGTGGAAACACAATAGCCATAGAGGAGAAGAAGAAGAAGAAGATGCTTCAAAGGCACGCACGCTCCATAAATCGGACACAACTTGTGGGTAGTTCGGTTTTAATATTTCATTTGATCGCTCTAACGTTCGGTTAGTTCTGCCAGTGGCACAATGTGTGTAGTAGGTGGTAATTACCAGCAATATTTCGTTAAGTTTTCCTTAATTTAGTAATCATTATTATTATTGTGATCATGAGTAAGTTAATGAAACTGGAGTGCAAAGTGCATACGAAGATACGATTAACATCAAGTTTATCACAAGGAAGGTATGTACTAGAACTTTATTTTACATATTCATTGTACATACTTTAATTACTATGTGTAAAGTTAACACACAATAATAATTAATTAAAGTTCTTAGTAAAATGCTTAGTTCCCCTAATATTAATATTGGGGTAAATATTCCCATCTCGCTTTGACTTTTTGTAGTTCTAGCTTTGTATTATTTAGGTAAGTACTTGAGTTATTTTAAGTTCTTTTTTTAAGATACCTTATGAGATTGTTAGAATAGATTTAGTCATGAAGATTTATCAAATCTGTCAGGAATTGCTTTTACCATAGTCCTAACTACCTATCCCTTATCCGTAAAAACTATTGACCTTCACTGTCACCAGTCATCCATGGGATTTAGTGGTATCACCATATCAAAGGGCAAGTGATCAATAGTGATGAGTTTTTGGTGTTTACAACATGAATGTGTAATATACCTAACTGATAGATACATATCTCTAGTGCCCCAGATCTCTGATAAAATCATTTTATCGTCGTACCTACTGGAACATTCAACTATGAAGACATTAACCACGAGTGCCACGATTCTGCAAGCATGGTGTTTATCATAAAGATATCTATACTAATATTATAAATAATATTATAAACTCTGTCTGTCTGTCTGTCTTGCTACGTCATGTCTAAACCACTGAATCGATTTTGATGAAATTTGGCATAGAGATAGTTTGAATCCTAGGAAAGGACATTAGGATAGTTTTTATCCCGGTTTTATAAACAGGGACCCGCGCGAATTGTCTTTTTGTGACAGACCAAATGCGGGCGGAAAGCTAGTAAAGATATAAATCTTTCTTGATAGATAGATAGAATCTCTTTATTAAACAACACACAAAACAGCCAAATAAAAAATATCCTACGTTACAATTCGTGCAAACTAAGTATTTAGGGAATCTTTAACTTGTTAAAATAATCAAAGAACGTAGGTATTTGCAGTATCTTGACTCTTTTCCGCAAAACACTTGCTTAAACAACCGAAAACCTTTTCTCGATCATTATAATCGCAATAACATATCGGGAATCGTCCTATGTGTGCCTTATCAGAGTTATCAGTCGCGATACTTCTCAGAAAAGTTAGAATTATCCGCCGATAATCGATTTTACTAAAGATAACTCTTATTGGAATTTATTAGCATTTTGATAATATCATACTAACAACATTAGTTACGTACGATACGTGATTCATCCGAAATTCATTCAGAATTTGCTAGAATAGTGATTATGCTATTCGTTTCATATTTGTGTTTCCATTTCGGAAAATTGTTCCAAATTACCGTGATAATGGTTGATGATGTAATCACCCAAAAAAATGATGAATGGGATTTGGAGCCAATTACATATATTTTTTTGGATTCACGCAATTAAAGCTAGTGACATACACAAACTTAATCCGGGTTCGTTAATAAGCTGAAAATACATAATTAAGAGCCAAAAATAAATGCTTCATTGAATCATAATGTCACCTTTTGTAAGTACCTACTAATTAAATTAACATAAGTATTGGCCTATGAAACTTAACTACACTTTTGACAATGTAAGGTAAAAGTTACACCATGTCGTAGGTACCTACTTATATGTATTGTGTAAGTTTTCTCTGATAACTAAAACCCAGTGAGGATTTTTCTGTTTGTTTCAAGAGATTGTAACGTGTTAAATGTTAATTATATTTTGTTAATACCACCAAAACTCTTATCCAAGAGTTCAATGCAACACTTGAAATTGTTTCAGTATGTTCTTATACTTTTATCAGGCCTGAACTAAATCCGTTACCACGGCGACAAAAAGATATCACAATATCATCAATCATCAGTCATCGGCTGTACCTACTGCAAAGAGATAAGTTTTATTAACTTAATAGGTAACCCACTGTTTTTGAGGTCACAATAATGACTTAACCTCAATCGAATTGATTGAATCCCAATGCATTTTTCAGCTGGAACAAATTATTTATTCTATTAATGAGAAAATAGCTTCTTCTAATTAACCTACAACAAAAAGTAATGAGAAAAAATATTTCAGCATTATAGTCTATCCAATATAGCTTGATGAGAATGACAGCTATCAAACGAATGTGACTAGTGCTGGGTATGTTTCGTACGGTTCACATAGATGTATCGATAAGTTTTCGAAAAAATGATATAAAAAATGCACCCAATTTTTCTTCATATCTTTATTCATAAACATGACAATTATAATTTAAATTTAAAGACAGTAAAATTTAAAACTCATGTCAAGGGTGTACAACCTAAAACGTAGTCATTATCATCAGTATTCTTCAGTGGTTTTTTCCTCTCGCTAGAGGGCGGTGGGCATCTCTTCTAGAGCAACGGTGCTATGAATACCCAAAAAAATACCGGTGATTGATTTCCAATGTTTGATTATTTCAGAATGAAATGTATTTTGGTTTTTAATAGTGAACATTTAGAAAAACGTAGAGACGTCGTTAATACTCTAGCTTGATTTTTATAATTTCGAATTACTACTTATTGGTGTAATTTAACGCTGGATTTACACGAAATTAACATTTTTATTGGAAGCACTTTCGTCGAAAATATTGTTTGTAGGTCAGACGTGAATTATTTCTTGTCCGCCAATATTTAGCTCTCATTGATCGCTACTACAAAGTTATGTCGTTACTTTTGATGGCAGCTGTCATTCTAATCAAGCTATATTGGATAGACTATAGTGTTACATTATCCCTGAATATCAGGCCAAAATTCACGCGGGTGAAGTCGCTCTCAAAAGCTAATCTTAAATACTTATTACCAAAAACTTCCATAGGTCACGCCGAAAAAACTAACATTTATTTAAAACGAAAAGGCACCTAATGTCTGAACAACACCACTATTTGTAATGAATGTGGGATACAATAAACAATTTGAATTTGAATATATTTAGACGATTTTTGCCGTGTTTATAACTGTGATCAATGGGTAGTTATTAGTGGGTAGTGTAGCGGTGTAAACGCTATCAATAAGGTTAGTTACTGTCTCTTTTAATATGCATTATCTCATAAGACTATGTTGAGGGGCCTTCGACCTGTATTTGCTCCAATTTATCGAACAAAAAAACAATGAAAACATCTTTATCTTCAGGTTAACAATTTAATAATATGTTTGCAACCTGGCAACAATGCAGCAACGACACCACGACACCATTTTACATTTCATATTTTTATATTTATTACGTTAGATAAAATTTCAATTCACCTTTTCGTAGTACGATCACCTTTGCTATCGCAAAATAAATACTTACTTACTGATAATGCACGCCAAATTACGAAGTTTTCAATATTGCAGGTGCATTCAAAATGTATTTGATTCTGTAGGTTATTTATATACCCTTGATTGTCAATTATGTCACCTTCCCACTGGAGTATAGTCGATCTTAAGCTACTCAGTTAATCCTTAACTTCTGATTACTTTCGTTACGTGTTCAACTACGGTCAACTTTCCCTCGGGACTGATTTGGCCTTGACTGTGGTTATCGGTCAAACATAAAATAGTGGCTGAGTTTCTTGCGCTGCTTCTTCTCAGCACTGGCCCATTTATTGTCCCGAAGCAGTGTTGGGGTTAATACTGGGACGTGTAAAAGTGCCTTTTAAAAGCCCACTTGCAAAAATAAAATGACTTATATTAGTTTTCATAACTTTATGAGTTTACTTCTTGTACTCGTAAGTTATGCAGCTGTTGGAGTGGGATTTAGTATCGTATTTTGTGAATTGATAAAATAAATATTAAACCTACAGACTTCAGACTTGAAGTGCAGTTGCAAGTGTAGCAACGATAAGACGATAACATAACTTTTCAGTTGATGACAGGTGTTCGATTAGGATTAGTTTCAGTTGGTAATGACGATAACAACAAGTACTTACTTGTAGTAGCAGAGTAAATACTTGTGTGGTTATTTTTTTAACTTACTATTTGTTGGCTCTACCGATGTTTGTAGACAAAGGCCTATCTTATTAAAGTCATTAACCATATCGACTAACCAATGGAAATATTCCGGGAACGATGATGAGAACCAAGAAAATGGAAACTTCTATATAATATGGATATCCTCAGTAACATCTCATCATCTAAATATACATATAACTCAAAGGTGATTGACTGACTGACCTAGTGATCTATCAACGCACAGCCCAAACCACTGGACGGATCGGGCTGAAATTTGGCATGCAGGTAGA